CCTGCTGATTTATAAGATAAGAAAAAGTGAAGGAGGACAGGAGGCAAAAGACGTGCTCAAGACCTTCTGGGAGTGTCAGAGGTTTGTGAACTCCAGAGCTCAGGAAAACAACCGCTTGAGCAATAGCGAGTGCACTCACAGCAACCCAGAAGAAGCAGAGGTTCTTGAGAGCCAGCTCGGGCTCCAAAGGGGGCAAAGGTATGGATAAAAAGTCACGAGATGCCGTTACTAAACTCTCATCTTAAAGCAGGAAGGAGGGCAAGGTTTTAGCCTTGCCCAAAAGCAGGATAAAGGGTAAGGGCAGTGGCACTCTCCTCCAAGAAATATCACAGAGAACAGTCTGTTCTGGAGTTAAAGAGTAAGGTTGTAGGAAGTTAATGCAACAGAACTCGATGCTGGACCTTATAGAAGGGGACAGCGATAGTTGTTTTAAAAAAAACTCAAGCTGATTTTTTACCTATGAACACTTCATTCTGTCACAGATTTCACTCGCTCAGCATCTCGCACCCATGTACGTGCAAGCACCAAGACTAAGTAGTGTCCAAGTAGTCTGCTGTGAGTCACTTAGGTGCGACACAGAGGACAAGGGGTGCTGGCTCCTCCATCCTCAGCGTGGCTCTTAGGTTCTCAATTGGCAGCAGCAAAGTAGGTTTTGGGGCATATCTTTTGGGAGTCAACAGTTGTTACGGAGTGGTTCTTTCCTAGAGTCTGTTTTCCTGGTGGGCTAACAGGAAAAATAACGGCATGTATGAAACAATGCAGCCTTGCTGTAATCCTCCTGTTGCCAGAGTGAGGGTCTTCCATTGCTGAATTATCTGTGCTGTGGCCTTATCAGAGCTCAGGCTTTCTAGGCTCAACAGAAACAATACCTTCCTCAGTTTGATCAACTGGGAAGAATGTCCTCGGTTATCAATACAAGCCTTTTTTTTAATTAACCCTTGTTCTGTTATTTTTTCTGATGCTCACCCACAAACATTTTCATTTGTGCTTCATTTGTACAATTATTCATATTACATATCTCAAAATGGAGTAACAAATTCCGCTCAGAAAGTACTTACAACTGCTGTGCGAGACCGGCATTGGCACAAAGAACAACTTCAGACAGTTGTTGTTGATGAAGGCTAGTGATTTTGAGCCTGTGGTTCATGGCCTAATCTGCAGGGCTTCATGAAAGGTAGCTTATAAGTAGTAGACCTAACCCTTTATACTTTCCTCCTTACCTTATTTCCGAATGAAGTATGATTTTTAAAGAAAATGCCTAACTTTATATTCTCGTCTAGTTCTTTAAGCTTGTAATTTGAACGCTCATGTACTTAAACTGCTGGCATGTGAGCCTTTAATCCAATCACAGTGAGAAAGCTTTAGAATGCTATTAAAATAGATGTCTTTGCCTAGTTACTTAAAATTTTTGACAGTCGAGTCATTAGAACCAGGAAATAATTTAAACTGTAAAACGAGACTAGATAAATTCTTGCAGAGCACGCAAGGAATAATCCCCCATTAAGAGGAGTATGAATTAGCTTGTTCCAGGTCTTTTTTGTATATGTATCCTGCAAGTTCTGTGTAATGGAATAAAAGTGATCCTGTAGTGATTGGTATAGCTCTTCAAATGTGTATATACTTAAATGTGTATATACTTACGGTGTGCTAAATGTAAGTCTGTGCTTGAGACACCTGCAGTCTTAAAGGCAGTAATGGGTTCAGTATAGGAACACTGAATGGAGAGTGATCAGTTGGAATATGCCAAAACTATAATAAAAGAATGTTAATAAGTTTTGAAGGGAAGTGCCCACATTTCTGAAATGACAGGCTTTATGGTTGCGCAGCCATCCTGTGTAAGAAAATAGCCTGCAAGCAGTTAATGATACGTACCTGTTTGCTGTAGGCAGTCATACGAGTTAAGTTGGACGTTTTGGAATGGTCACTTGGTTTTTCATTTGTTTCCTGAGATGCTTATAAGAGCAGTCTTAAAGAATATCTTGAACTAATTTGCTATAGCTAATTCCACTGTTGGATAAATGGCATATCCACCACCCACCTAGTAAAATAAACTCTTTTAATCTTCCAGCGGTTTGACTCTAGGAGGTGAGACATCTCGGTCAGTGTTATATAACTTATTAAGAAGCTGTGACAGCCTGATTCTATATTGTTTTAGCTTTACCAAATGGCCATGTTCTTCCTTTACATAAGGACTGTGCACAAGTTTGTGGTCCAAATTATTTGCTGGCTTAAATCCAGTGACTTGGTGGATTTACTCTAGCAGGTTATTTGGCCTGTGTGTTACTTGTGGTATTGATTTCATAAAGAGCAAAACAAGGTTTTATTTTACCATGTCACTATTTCAGAAGAGGTGTATCTGCAGGAGAGGGACTAGCCAAAAATTGAATTGTATTTAATTAAAGATGGTTCTAGAGTTACAAGGTGCATAGCCCGTTGAAATCTTCTACATTCTAAAATTTGTCACCTCTTTCACCACTATGGTTCTCCCTGCTAACCTCATTTAATTGATTCTCCCATATAATTATAACCACATAAAAGGCTTATGTGGCTGTCCACATTGTCCTCCCAGCTTTTTCTTTTTCCTTTTTTTTAAAAAATGGTTGAAGAACATCTAAAAATATGATCAATTTTTAAAGTATGTTAGCTTAATCCAGAAAATCAATGTATGAAATGAGCCGTTTCATATTTGTTTGTTATGCAGGCCTGGGAGGATGCTGGACTTATCTTGTCTACTACTAGCAACGAAGCCTGTAAGCTATTTGATGCTGCATTGACCCAGGTATGAGGGAAAAATTTGAGAGAACGTGAATTGAAGGGACTTGTGTTTGAAACAGTGTTTGCTGCACATGGTCTTTAAATTTCTATCAGCTGAAAGATTAGAAACGAGCTATTTTTAGTTTAATTTCTTTAGGAAAGAAAGCTTAAGCAATCACTCTGTATGTGTGTGCATGTGTGCCCCTTGGTTCTTCCCAGTAACGTGTGAATCTGTTAGCTAATTTCAGCCAAAGCTAACGGGATGGTTGTGGACTCAAAAGACGTTACATTCATGCAAGGTTTCTGAGAGAAGAAGACTTCTCTCTTCTTTTTGAGAAGAGAGAACCTCAAAATCAGGCTGCCACGTGGCTACTAATGCCAGCCACTAGTAGACAGCAGAAAAATCCTTGTAGCAGAGAGCTATGCTAAATGCTGCAGCTGTAGGGGAAAACAGCAGCCAGCCAGCTAGCTCATCCTACTTGGCACTGGAGAATCCGCCACTGGACATAAACTACATAAAAACCTAGACTATTAGTTCTACTACTTTCTGAAATGCCTTAAAGAAAACGATTTCTCCATTGTCTTACTAAGCTAACTCTTATCTGAAAGTTGTTTCTCTTTTACTCATTTCTCTTGTTCACTTTTGAGTTTTACTTGCTTGGGAGAATGAAAAAAGTACAGTGCCATCTGATTTCTAGCAATTGTCTCTCTCTGTTACAGTATGCAACCTGGACCGATAATGAGAATCTAGGAGGTATAGAGGGATGTCTCTCCAAGTTAAAAGCAGCAGATCCAAATTTTAGTAAGTATAACCTTTAATCTGTAGCATTGGTACTGCAGGATAATGTCCTAAATCCTAGGACTGCTTTCACCTACAAGACAGTCTCATTTTTAAACAAACAAACAAACAAACAAAAACCTTCAGGAGTTTATGTAGAGATGTAGCACCTGTAATTCTCTACATCTAAAGCTCTAATATGCTGGTTTCTGTAGCAATGGGGCATGTCATCGCTAATGGTTTGGAGCTGATTGGCACTGGAAGTTCAGTGCGGCTCAACAAAGAGCTGGACAATGCAATGAGAACAATGATGACACTCTCAAAATCACAGCCACTGACTGAGCGGGAGAAGCTTCATGTATCAGCACTGGACATGTTTGCAAGTGGGTAAGTGGCTCTCTTTGGGGAAAGTGGCTGGAGTTGATTTTATCAATCACAATCTTGCTACCACTGTGTACTACCGTGGGATGCATCGCAATTGCTGTTATGTTGGCATCTTTCATTCTATGAGAGATTGAAGAGTTTTAGCTACCACAGATGGAAGTGCTACTTCGTAGTGGAATTGCCTGACATTAGTTGGGATCTAGCAAAGGATCAGGATGACCTATAGACAGTTGTTCTTGAATTTATCTCTCCAAACTGTATGCGCCGTGGTAGTTAGCCAGCAGCACCACAGGGAGGGAATTGCTGCGTTGCCACTGTGTCATGTCATTAAACACTCCTTGTTTTACATTTGTCATAGATTTATCAGTGGAATAGATTGTTTAAAACTGAGAAACGATTTAACTACTCCAAAGGCCCAGTGTAGTATCATACAGACTTTGGGCCACGGAAGCAAAGCTTTTACAAACAGACTTTTCCTCTTCTCTCTGTTGTCTCCCTGTAGCAAAAGCTTTATTTCATCTGTAAAATGGGAAGATAGCAGAGTGTCAGAAGCACTCACTGTAGGGGGGCTCACTGTTTTGCTCAGTATAATTCGTTAATGTACTCTATAAAAAAGCATGGCACATGATTCTCTTTCATTATCTGTTCGTCAAGCAAATATATGACCACAGATTTATTGCTCGTATTTCTTAACAAAGGTAAACATGAGGGAAAACCACTGATGCCCTGTTCCTGTGGGTTTGATTTGCACCTAGAAGTGAAGGAAGATGATGTTTGCTTGCATGTGAAGTTAGATGAATCATAGCAGGTCTCTATACAAGTTTAAAGTTGACCCATGCAGGACAATCGTTAGATTTATGGCTTAAACTTGATTCATTTGCCTCATCTATTACAGTGTGTTGCTTGTAACACAAGGATTTTGTTTACGTGATTTCCCAGAAGGTACTTTGTGAAGTCAGTGTCATGATAAACCTTAAAGACTAGGAAATTCTTTCGAGACAACAAAATATCATTTGATATTGAGTTTTCTATTTTTCAGAGTAGCATGAGTTTAGAAATAACAGGAAAGGTAGGTATGCCTGTCTTTGTGATCAAAATAGTTTCTTATTTCTAGCCAGCTTCCAAAAGCTTGTGACCTATGGGAACAGATTCTGCAGCGCCACCCAACTGACCTGCTAGCCCTCAAATTTTCCCAGGACACTTATTTCTACCTTGGATATCATGTACAGATGCGAGATTCTGTTGCCCGGGTTTATCCTTTCTGGACACCTGATGTTCCTCTCAGCAGGTGGGTCATGCATAATTTTCAAGATTGCCTTGTGTTTGATGTATGCATGTGCTTTGTGTTTTTTAAATTCAGACACATCTAAATAGCGATATCTGTTGGGCAGAGACTTGTAGACAAACTCAGGGACCAGTGAATCCAACCTGACCTCAGTCAGAACGTTTTTCCTGTATCCCTGCTAGCGCTGTTAGGGAGGTTTTTATTTTTCAAGTGAGCTGTAGCTCAATTAATAATTTTTTATTATCAAATATGACACATTTGTTGTAACAGATGGAATAAGATCCTGGCCTCTCTGAGGACAGTGCCAAAACTCGTTTGGGCTTTTGAGACCTGAGCTTTTTTGCCTGGGGTCTGTACTGTGGCTGATAGAGCACATTAGAGGAAGGAAGAAGGGAGTTGCAACTTAGAATACCAAAGTATAATTCTGAAATAAAATTTTGGGATATCCCATAATGGCTGGTGCAGCCAAGACTGACAGGAAGGTACACTTTTTTTCTTAATATCTTTAGTTCAGTCCTAGAAGTTTCCATTTCCCAAAACTATTCAGTATGATATGAATCTGTTGACATGTGGATCATTTATAAAAACTGACTTGGCATACATATATATATATATAT